TAATTTGTTTAAAATATGTTATTCGATGGATAAAAATAAAGATTTAGTGAAATAAAAAATCATTTTTTTGTAGAATCTAATATTTTATGAGATTGTATGATTAAAAAGTAAAGTTTTGATTAATTTGTTTTCATAATTTTTTTTTCACATAAAAAAAATGAATGTATTTCATAAGTTTTAACCCTGTTAAAAATCATATATTTAAAAAAAATATTTATGTTTAATGTTAGTAATTTTTTTTTGTATGGGGCCCCGAAAATCTCAGATCCGGCTCTGTGTAAACTCAGAGCCAGCTTGGGGCTCGAAGGCATATGAACGCTTAGATTACATAATGAGACTCTACGGGGCACTTGTTCAGACTGATGTTCGCGGTGGTATTGCTACTAACATCCATGGGATTGAACATGGATGGGCTTGGTTTGCTCGGTTCGTTAACAAAATCTCTATCTATGATAAAGTTACCGTAACAGCTGTAACATCCAATGTGTTTACCTTATTAACTAGTTAACTAGGTTAAGATATTTAACCCGTTAAGATGTTTAAACTTTTTGCTGCAAATTTAATTTGTACTCCCTCCGTATCCTAATAGATGATGTTTTAGAGAAATTTTTTTTGTTTCATAATAGATGATATTTTCATTTTTTTATATAAAATTAATTGTGTTTTTATTTTTTTTTTACTGTTTAAATTCCGCAGATTGTTTTTTAATTGGTTGAAATGTTTTGAAGTTGATGATAAAATATGTTTATTTTGAAAAAATAAAAAAATAAATAATTTTTAATCTATGTGCAACAACCCTACATAATAAAGTAATATGATATAGAGAGAGTAGCTTAAAATAGATTTATATGGCTTGAGGCTCCAATAGGTTATCAGCCAAATCTTTCCATTTTAGTTTGTATTACACTCGCTCTAGTTCACTGGTGGAATCTCAAAAACTAATGATAATAAGCACTAACATCATGGCTCTGTTGGTTAATCACAGTTTGAAGAAGTCTTAAACACAGTTTGATGAATCCTAAGATTGTGGATCTCTCTTTCTCTAGTTTTTTATTTTTCCTAAAAAACTCAATTTTCTCAAAGATTCAAACTTTTTTTCCATATTTTATATAATTTTAATAATTTTGATTGTCCTGCAAAAAATACCATATTGTCACAATATTCTAATAATCCAAATAAAATACCATAAAGTATATGCTGAAGTAATTAACACATAAACTACCTGGTAGAATTCTCCATTTATCTCAAACTCACACGACACCAATGTCACTAAGCTAAACATATATTAGTCATGGCTTCTTGAACCAATAAAAAAAATGGATAAATGAGTACCACAATAAATAAATGGAAACAAAAACTAAACGAAACATTTGTATTCCCGGTAATTTTAATATATGAAGTATCCTTCAGTTAG